CCTCTCTCTCCACTGTCCCCATCCCTCTCTCTCCACTGTCCCCATCCCTCTCTCTCCACTGTCCCCATTCCTCTCTCTCCACTGTCCCCATCCCTCTCTCTCCACTGTCCCCATCCCTCTCTCTCCTGACAACGCCACATCCTCCCATCTCCTTCACCAGCCTTCCTTTTACTCCCTTTTTACTTCTTGCCTTCTGTCTTTCATCTTTTCTGTGATTTTGTTTATCTCCCTCTTATCTATCCCTCATCAATCTCTTTACTTCTTACTTTCTTCCTGCCTGTAGCATTAAACACCTTGAATATGATAACGGATGTCATTAGCTTTTTCTACAGTCTCTTTCATCTCGCCAAGTCTTTTGATTTCAGATTTCTGGAGAATACCATGGGGACCACAATCCCCAATGTGTTCAGGACCATGATCCCACACGTGCTCAGGACCACGATCCCACGCGTGCTCAGGACCACGGTCCCCATGTGTGTTCAGGACCATGATCCCACACGTGCTCAGGACCACGATCCCACGCGTGCTCAGGACCACGGTCCCCATGTGTGTTCAGGACCATGATCCCCACGCGTGCTCAGGACCACGGTCCCCATGTGTGTTCAGGACCATGATCCCCATGCGTGCTCAGAACCGCAGTCCCCTTGCATGTTCAGGACCACGATCCCCATGTGTGTTCAGGACCATGATCCCTATGTGTGTTCAGGACCACGATCCCCATACATGTTCTGAACTACAATCCACACGTGTGTTCAGGACCACAATCCCCACTCATGTTCAGGACCATAATCCCCACACGTGTTCAGGACCACGATCCCCGTGTGTGTTCAGTCTGCGGTTTGCTCCCTTTATTCGGCCCATGCTTATAAAAGCGCCCAATGAAAGACGACCCGCCCCGATAAACACTGCCTTGAAAAGTCCCCCTAAAAGTCTCGGGTCATTACTGCTCTGAGTCTCTCACCAGCCAGTCAGGAAACTGAACACTTTAATTTCACCTCACATGGGATTTCATGAAATGTACGATTTCCAGTTACTTTAAGCATACTGTGTTCTATCTCCTGAAAGGTTTTGAGCAAAATGTTATATACACTATATATACTCTTGGATATGTGTTATATATGTGTTTTTTTTGGCTATGTAATATTATTTAAAGCAACAACCAGTATTCTGTTGCATAACTGTGCAGTTGGAGGCATCACTTAACGGCAGATGCAGTGTGGCATGAACTACACTGCGTCGTCACGGTACACAGTCACAGGTGGCTCCCCTACGGTAAAGATTAAAGAGCTGAATACGCCACAGGCAGTCTAAATTCTACACGGTGTCTCACCAACAAAGGTGTGAGTGTGCAAGTGAGTGTGAACCCGTTTGTAGTGTGACAAATGAAGCAGAAAACACACAGCCGGCTCATTTTCCCGTTTTATGTCATTTGTTTTAACTTTAGTAAAAATAGTATTTAGATATACAGTCTTACGTTGAGTTACGCCTGATCAAGTCAAGATCACATTTATGTCTGAGGTCCATAGTACACACACGTGGACAAAATTGTTGGTACCCTTCGGTCAATGAAAGGAAAACTCACAATGGTCACAGAAATAACTTTAATCTGACAAAAGTAATAATAAAAATTCTATGAAATTTAACCAATGAAAGTCAGACATAGCTTTTCAACCATGCTTCAACAGAATTATTTGAAAAAATAAACTCATGGAACAGGCCTGGACAAAAATGATGGTTCCCCTAACTTAATATTTTGTTGCACAACCTTTTGAGGCAATCACTGCAATCAAACGATTCCTGTAACTGTTAATGAGACTTCTGCACCTCTCAGCAGGTATTTTGGCCCACTCCTCATGAGCAAACTGCTCCAGTTGTCTCAGGTTTGAAGGGCTCCTTTTCCAGACGGCATGTTTCAGCTCCTTCCAAAGATGCTCAATAGGATTGAGGTCAGGGCTCATAGAAGGCCACTTTAGAATAGTCCAATGTTTTCCTCTTAGCCATTCTTGGGTCTTTTTAGCTGTGTGTTTTGGCTAATTGTCCTGTTGCACGACCCATGACCTGCGACTGAGACCAAGCTTTCTGACACATGGGCAGCACATTTATCTCTAGAATCCCTTGATAGTCTTGAGATTTCATTGTACTCTGCACAGATTCAAGACACCCTGTGCCAGATGCAGCAAAGCAGCCCCAGAACATAACAGAGCCTCCTCCATGTTTCACAGTAGGGACACTGTTCTTTTCTTGATATGCTTCATTTTTCCGTCTGTAAACATAGAGCTGATGTGTCTTGGCAAAAAGTTCCATTTTTGTCTCATCTGTCCATAGGACATTCTCCCAGAAGCTTTGTGGCTTGTCAACATGTAGTTTGGCAAATTCCAGTTTGGCTTTTTTATGATTTGTTTTCAACAATGGTGTCCTCCTTGGTCGTCTCCCATGAAGTCCACTTTGACTCAAACAACGACAGATGGTGCGATCTGACACTGATGTTCCTTGAGCTTGAAGTTCACCTTGGATCTCTTTAGTTACCATTCATATTATCTGTCTCTTTGATTTGTCATCAATTTTCCTCCTGCGGCCACGTCCAGGGAGGTTGGCTACAGTCCCATGGATCTTAAATTTCTGAATAATATGTGCAACTGTAGTCACAGGAACATCAAGCTGCTTCGAGATGGCCTTATAGTCTTTACTTTTAACATGCTTGTCTATAATTTTCTTTCTAATCTCCTGAGACAACTCTTTCCTTCGCTTCCACTGGTCCATGTTGAGTGTGGTACACACCATGCCACCAAACAACACAGTGACTACCTGGAGCCCTATACAGTATATAGGCCCACTGACTGATTACAAGATTAGACACCTGTGATGCTAATTAGTGGACACACCTTGAATTAACATGTCCCTTTGGTCTTTTCTAGGGGTACCATCATTTTTGTCCAGGCCTGTTTCATGAGTTTATTTTTTTTAATTATTCTGTTGAAGCATGGTTGAAAAGCAATGTCTGACTTTCATTGGTTAAATTTCATAGAATTTTTATTTATTATTACTTTTGTCAGATTAAAGTTATTTCTGTGACCATTGTGAATGTCATTGTGAATGACTCAGGAGCGGCACGGTGGCACAGTGGTTAGCACTGTTGCCTCACACCACTGGGACCAAGGTTCGAGTTCACTCCCAGGTTTCATGTTTGTGGAGTTTGCATCTTCTCCCTGCGTCATCTGGGTACTCCAGTTTCCCCCCACAGTTCAAAAACAGGTTGACTGGAAATGCCAAGGTGTGAATGGTGTGTGAGTGTGCCCCGTGATGGGTTGGCACCCAATCCTGGGTTATTCCCTGCCTTGCACCCATAGATGCCAGACCCCCCCCCCCTCCCATAACCCTGAATAGGACAAGCGATTACCAAAAATGGATAGATATTATGGCTCAGTACAGTCAAAGCATGCAGTGGGTGCAGAAGATAGTGATGATTTTTCAACCTGTGGCTGGATTATATCACTGACACAGAAGTACCAGCTGGTCCTGGCCGCCAAACGACATACCCCTACAAAGTAACCACACTTACAGAGATATCTGCCCTTCCCATAATTCCCTGCGCCTATCAGCTGTTGCTTGTTACACAACTTTTCCATCATTTCCTGCCCTTTTGGATGGCTTACCACTGAACATAAATATAACACAGGGAGAGAGGCACACATGCAGCAAAGCTGTGCAAGCACACAGAGGAGACTCCACCGTGATCGATAAAGTTTGGGCAGTGAACCCCAGGGAGAGAAGTAAATCAGATAAAGGACAGAAGAATCAGAAAAGAGTGACAGTGTGAGGGTGGGACAGCTTTGGGGATGGGATTCCAGAGACAAAGATCAGCATCGACAGGAGAACAAAGACCTAGATTTTTGGGTTCGCAAGAAAACTTATCAGATTTAAGGTAGTCCGGGCTAAATGTAAATGAACTAAGATGAAGTCCATTTCACTGGAGAACCTTAAGTCCGACAAGTTATCTAGCTAACCAACATATCTCTCTTCGTGATACAGGCCCCCAATAGCGTAACAATCAGCAGCAACGGCACTCATAACCTGAAGGTTGTTGCCAAAAATCCCTATGGTACTGCCATTGATCAAAGACACATAAAATGCATCTCTGCTGTGAATATGCAGCTGACTAATAGGGTCAAATTTGTCAGAACAAGCACAGTAGTTAGGTTGTGGGTTGTTGATTAATCACTATGTGGCAGCCATTAGCCATTACACCTGTGTAAGGAGACCATCAATGGGTTAACGGCGGCCTGTGCGAGTGTCTTCTAATCCGTACCGTTGTTTCAAAAATAAGTCCTTGATTTTCAGTCTTTTTTTTTAATAAAGTGCTCTCTGCCCTTTCCTCACTGCCACTGGACATTGGTTTGTCTGTGTCGGCCTTCTCTATGGTGCCCCCTGTTGGCAGATGAGCTCATCACCAGCATCCTGCTTTATATTTCCATTCTTCGGTCTTCGAGGCCATTACAAAATGGCCCGCATTCTTGCCGCTGCCTCA